CTGAAGTGCAATACAAAATATGAATGAAATGTTTCTCAGACCAAATTTCATTAAGAAACGATAACACCTGCCCAAGGTAATTTTGCGAAAATAATGTTCCAAAGAGCACTGTATACTTGATGTCTGAATTGTTGGCAGAGACTTGAATAGATCCATGTGTGTGTGTGTATGTGACTGCGCATATTTGAAAATACCATTAGACCATGATACAGGAATGCCATCATTAGATGAAGTTCTCAAAACAGACAATAACACCTCCCAAGATGATCCCAATGCATTCATTGCCAAGGTAGAGGAATTTGGCATCGGATAATGTCAAAAGATATGACAGTGAATCCGTTGTTATACAGATAAATTACAATTTCTTTTTTGTGTGTGTATGTTTTACACCATAACAAGATATGTTCATTTCCATTGAAATATACAATGTATTTTTAACATTTTCGTCTTTTATTGGCAATATTGATCGATATTTATCGACAAAATTAATAAACTGTTATTATATAGTTACAGAGATTATTTTATTCAGATAATAGGGGTGGAAACATAATTTTAATGGTGGTGATCATGCTTGGGATATTTTGCTGAAAACAGATCTGATTTAACCATAAATTATTGCATAATATGTGATCAGATTAAATGCAAACAACAAGCGTAGATGACTTAATGTTTTCAACTCTTAGACTACGACTAATTAAAAAATGATTTCAATACTGCAAAGCCCATCACTATTTTAATTATTTTTTTTGTTTATTATTGTACCTTCCTACCCATACATGTTATCTACCTTTCCATTGTCGGCGGTCTTTGGGGCATAATGTTTATGCCAGCGATACATGCATTCGCCAACCACATGTTTGTCATTAATTGAAATTTGTTCAGCAGTTCCTGACTGAGAAACATACTTCTCAGTGTCCTGTGTATTATTTGACACCCTGGGCTCCCAGGCTCGGTTAGACATATTGTAAAACATACAAAATTCACAGTGATACGTATACTTACTTAATGCATTTCAATTAACTCACCTAGTACCCGTGGGTAGACGCTGAGCGTTAGTTCGGAGTCCATCACAGCGTTAGTTCCCGTGCACATCAGTACTTTACTTTGATGATTTAGGAATGATGGCGTAAATGTCAACTGGCTCGCCGTATTGAGCCGATTATCGCCAGGTTGGTCTACCTCTTCGGTGAATGAAACGATGGAAAATCCTGGAATACCGTTAATAATTTCCTGACCTCCGAGATACCAGTTTACGGAAGCAACAGGATTCGCCTGCTTCGCCCAACAAATGATCATGATTGGTTCGTCTTCAATCATCGTTACCATGTCACTTTCTCGAACAAGGTCTACTTGACCTTCGACCTCCATCAGCAGTTCCTGGATCGGGCCTGATTTTGAAAACAGAAAACAGATCATTATATTGGGGAAATTACATTTTTATCCTTTTATATCTCAATTACCTTAACCATGTTTAAATTGGGGGAAAAAAAACTATCCACCAAAATCAATTTGTTCAGTTTATAGACTCTATTTTGAAAAAAAAATAATTCTAAATATGTCTGAGCATGAATCAAGATAAAAAATGAAATTAAATTACAAGTACAAACACCTCAGTTTTATTTTTTTAATTTTGTAGAAAAATAAATATTGTATCAGAGTGCCACACTAACACATTTTTTTCTGAAGAACGTATAGCATTAATTTACTCATTTTTAACCAACTGGTACGTGGCTTTCCTTTCAGAAAAGCAAGTTTTGATATATATCTTGGTAGAACTGTGAAATCCAAATTTAGGATTATCTAAAATTATTTAGTCGAACTATTAATGTAGCTAAGCATATCATAGATTTAATAGCACAGATACCGAGTAAATGATTATTACCAGTGTGCCACCATTTTACTACTGTGTGGTCCGAACGGAATGTCGTAATTGTGGTTAATTTTAAGTTAAATTCTAAGTTATTCATCAATGTTTTGAAAGAGAATTGTTGTTTTTTTTGAAGTCAACATATTTTTCGAGATACGATACACGCTAGTATTTTAACACCGCTGTCAAATAGGTGCAACATACTTTTAAAATATTTGATATCTGTTAATGAGGTACGAAAGAGTTTAATTTCACTCAGGCTTGTCTGTAATAAGCGAGATGGTCACGGTGAAAATCAAAACAAAACAACAAGTATTTGAGGGCCATGTTTTATAGGCTGCAACAAGTAAAACCGGACATGGCTTTGTTTTTGAAAGAGAATAAAAAAGCAAACATCCGAGAATTGTGTCCCTGAATTTCATTTGATAGATTTGTTGATAGATATTGATTATAAAACCTGTTTAAATGTAAAGAGCACAATTAGCGCCATTGCGTTAACACCTGGCTTGGAAACATTAAAACTCACAGATGCAGACAGTAAAATTTATATCTGGTCCTGAGAAAAAAATTGTCAAAATGTTCATCACTGCAGTATGTTATTACAACCAGACATTTTCCTGCCAATACACGGATGCAACATTTCTAAAATCTCAATATTTTTTCACAAATTCTACCCTACTTTTGGACAAAATACATAGAATTTAACATTTTATGAAAGTTTTGATCAAAATCAAGTAAACAAAATTGGTTATTTTCGAGACAAAAGTTGATTTTTGTTGCTGAAAAGATCTACTTCTTGACGCTGACATGCTAAGGACAAATTCTTTTCAAAACAGGACCTAGAATGAAAGAAATACCACATATGCACCAGATGAGTGCCTCTTCTGATGTTAAAAGGACATTAAGCAGAACCTTACAAACCTCCGCTATTTGCAAGCTTTTAATTCCCCTCATCATTTTGGGCATGAGTTACGATATCAGGTCAGGACAACAAATACTGACAAATCAAAAATGGCCATTATAGCTACAAAAAATACTTTTCGTGCTGAAAGAATACATATTTTTTGGCATTTTTGTAAAAGGTGCTAAAATCTACACAAACACCACTGGAAAAAAATTTTTCTTTCTTATCTTTTTTTTTTAAATTCCCAAAAAATTGCCTAAAAAAAAAAAGCAGTTTACAATTACTGCTGTATTTTTTTTTAACTTTCTTAAAGAAAAAATGTTGCTCAGCATCAAAACTACTTAAAAAGAGAAGTCTGTGATAAATATATCTAATATTTGTTTTTTAAATATCATAAGAACTATTTCTTTTCTCAATAAATGAATTTTATTTCACATGTAGAAAGATCCATCAAAAGAAGAAAAAAACATTTCTAAAAGCTGACTTAAAAATGTTTATGTTTAAAAACACAGTTTCAAATTAAAATTTTACAAACATGAAGACATAAAAATTCTTTGGTGAAATAAAAACAAAAGAATTAACATTTTGATGACTGGACCCTGAGTTCACAAGTATATGTTAAAAACTATCTGCACAAAAAGACAACTTGTTGGCTTTGATATGCAAATGATCTTTATCCAATTAAATCGACACCATTCACAGACTCCTATTCAAAGCAAGGAAGGGTAAGACTTTAATTAACGCTTTTAAAACGTGTACATGGTGCTTTGTTGTCGTTCACTTCAGAAGTTGGCGGGATCTCCCAAGAGAGAACAACTAAACCAATGAGCACAATGCATATACATGCAACCCCACTAGTCCATTAGCACACACCCGCCATGCATGGACGCATGTACTACCCCGGAAAGAAAAGAACATGATGTCATTTACAAGGAATTCACCATCCCATTATTTCAATACTTTTAAAGTTGGTTGTTGTTTTTATAAGCCAATCGAACTTTTAAGACAAACTCACCATGAAAACATCACGGTACATTCTGTTAGGTCAAAACGGTTGAATATGCACGCGATTCCAGCATTTATGCTAATGGAAAGGGAACAACTGTTTGGTACTTGTATGGGGAGTTCAACAGACTGTGCGTCGTTGTTTGTTCCAACTATTTACAATGAGAAACTGTTATTTTAGAATCAATTAGGCGGTACTTTATAAACGTGGCGATTGCCGCTCGATTCAGTAATGAGACAAACACCCCAAAGTTGGTAACAAAAAATTAAATTTATACAATTCCTTCAGAGTAGTTCTCCAAAACACAAATTAATCATGTTCTTCCAAGCATACTATTTACCTCCAGTCATAGAAGTGATTATCTTTTACGAGCTCTAATTCTGATTTTCGGTAACCGCAAAAAAAAAGTTTGCTAACTTCCTCTCATCTGACGACCAATCTACGAAAATCCAATGCCATCCTCCAAAATGTTTATTGTCAGAAGATAAGGAAGAACGTGATGATTTTGTAAATTGGCAGTTAAGTGTCAATTTCAATTTTAAATTGAAGTCCTTGAAAGTTCCACGCCCATTGAAAATCTGCCCTGCTCAATGAAGTGGATAATTTTGCCCGAAGACAGTGCATATCATCCTGACCTCAATGTCCTCTCGCTAAGAGAATATAATGTTATTTTTTTTTCATTAACTGTAACACCTTCCTTCCTGCTGCTGACTAGAAACACTTTTGATAAAAAGTTACAAAATTCCATATTGATGACAAGTCAAACAACTTCCCTAACTGGTCCACCGTATCTCCACCACCCAGTGCGTGTGCTCATAAATTTACTGAGTCACCTTTGTTTCCTACGACGACAGCGTGACCGTCTTTTTCATCGTCAGCTGAAAATTTACCAATTAGTCGGTCAAAGACCTATATTAATACATGACGCAGATTCGTCATCAGATTTTCATCAAAAATCGAGTCGAACCCAGTTTGAGAAAAATTAACATTTGCAGAAACGGGAGAGGTAGGATTTTTAGGTGGCACATTAAAACTTTCGGATTGCCGATTACGTGCGTGTGTGAGGAAAAGGGGTATGTTACACGAGTCTTGTGTTCAATTTTACTGATTGCCACATGACCTTGCATATAATTAACCGACCAGCACCATACAAAAACTTTTGATTAAAAAATCACAGTAACAAAAGCTAACCAAAGTGTACTTGGTCTCCAGTGCACGGTACACCACTTTTTCAATGACCAAAGGCAACCCAATCCTGAAATAAGTTATAGGAGTCCTTGGCATTTTGAAAATCAAACAAAGTCGTATTTGTCGAGGTCTGGTTCATTTCAAGTAGAGGCCTCCACTTTAGAAAAATGTTCAAAAAATAGGCAAAAACAAATTTTTTCTTCATATTTTTCTAAAATTTTGCTCAAGAAGTGTGGCCAGTATGATATATTGTTCAAAATTTTAGAAAAATATGAAAACAAATTTGTGTATTGGTGACAAAATTGAGTTTCTTGTAGTTGTATCAACGTTTTTGCCTATTTTTGAACATTTTAAAAAAAATAGGCGAAAACGTGGATACAACTACAAAAAGCTCTCAATTTCGACACCAATACACAAAATGTTTTTCATGTTTTTCAGTATGATGTATTGTTCATTTGAACCAAAATTATCGAAAAAATTTCCAAAAATACCTAAAAATCGGAAAAATGTTGCACAAAAATTTGATAATATTTTCAACAAATACAGTTCTTGATAAATTTTTGGATAACATTTTGAGGAAAATTTGTAGGTTTTATTCAGTGAAAGATGTGACAAATTAAACAGCGTTTGTCACGAATACGAAATCTTGCTGAAAATAGAACTGATGTCATAGAACACCATTCATCACATGAAATGAAGACAACGTGCACAGACAATAATGACAATTTCGTCCCGAACTGCAATACTTTGCTGTGGCTTTTTGGTAATTTGCTCTGATTTCCCCCAAAATAATTATTGCTTAACAGTCACAGCAAAATTATTCAACACCTGCCCATACATCTACCCATATTTTAAATTTATTTTTTGGCCAATCAAACATCTTCATGAATAATTAATCACATGATGTAATGCTTTATAGTGACATCACTGAAACAAACGCTATTTAAGTTTTCAAAATGTGAAAGAAACTATACTAAAAAACTAAAAAAAGTTCCAGAAAATACCACCACCACTTCCCTCTCTTCACACTCCCAGCTTCTGAGTCCAAACATTAAGTCTGGGAAATTTTTTGGGGTGAATCTAATTTAAATCTTTTAAATTAATGCACTCTACTGGTAAAATTAAATCACTCTCCAGACATCTCAACTTAATGGATTGACAGGTCTCCAAGAACGTAGGCATCCAAAACAAAGACTTACACACATAGCTGACCTTAGCAACTATATTGACCATTAAGCAAAATAAAAAAAAATAAACACTGACCAATCCTGGTCAATCTGTCAGGAACTCTGGCCAGTCAGGCATGGCCCATATCTTACCCATCCATCATGGCCCATGATTGTCCACTGGGCCAATACTATTATAAAATAAACTAATATTAGCTTTATCTGTTTAGATAGTAATCATATACAATCATTACCAACAACTTGACAGATATCAACAAACAAGACTTGTTGACGTATCATCTTACTAAATGCCTGGTGACTGGGCCCTGTCTGGTTGTTATGGAAACAAAAGATGGCTGCCAAGTGAAGTGAAGTTCAGCTTGCATACACATGGTAGATGCAACTTATAACATACATTTTCTTTTCTGACAATTTTTGTATTTTCATTTAAAATTTTTAATTTCAGTTTTAAAGATTTAAAGAAAAGGGAATTTTCCATCTGACATAGTCTTGTCATGATGGAAATTTTTTATAAAGAAAAAATCAAGCAAGAGAAAAATTTTCCAGATACACATTTCAACACCACCAAGAAATAAAGATATGTCAAACAGAAATTCTTGCAAGTTTTTTCGCGAGGGAACAAAACTGACGTGTAACGAGAGGAAGCGATGGTATCTGATGAACGTAAAATAGTAAGCGTTACACAATTAGTACCACCCACGTTGTGCTATTAAAGACGCCAATTAGTAGTATTCAAACATTCTCGCGAGTTAAAAAAATAAATTGTTATCGAAAATATAGTTTTATCAAATATTTGTCATCAGTGACCTACTGGGAATGATACTCGCAAAATCCTTTCAGTAAATTATAGTTCTGAGAACGCAAATTTTTAAAAAGTTGACAAGTTACTTAACACTAAAATTTTGTTCTGATGTTTTTAAAAACTGACGTATTAAAAACAAATACTTGACAAGAATTGAGAACCATGATCAGTTAATTAACTCCCAAGGTCAACATGGTCAACATGTTGACTACGAATTGATATCCAAACACGAACTTTATAACTCATTCTTGATTCTAGCCTAGCTCCAAAAACTGGTAAAAAAGTTGACAAACAAGTTGACACAAGTCCAATTCAGCATACGAACAAGTTTAGAGAAAGGAATTGAAAAAAAGATTTTAAAAGACTGGGTCAAACTGCTCTGAACCGATCGGCGGTTATAAGTGGGTTATTCACGTTGACAGTAAGTGTGCTATAATGTGGCTATCATTTACACTGCCAACAGGGGGGAATTGTAAGACGTACTGTGTAGAAAAATGCCAACATCGATAATCATCAATGTTAAAAAAAAAAGTCTGCCAGTATTTCTGTTCGAGTATGTTTCATCAGTGGAGTGTTTTTATATGCACTCACTGTCGATGACTACTTTCTGAATATTTTAGCCATTTTGGCAACAGGCTTTTTTTTTTTATTCAGCGTGAACTGATGTCTGCAGTTGGGTGTTCTCTTTTACTGATTGAACTATTGCTGTTAAATTTGTTTTGAAATTTTCTGTATTTTGTTATCTACACTCATTCAGGTGTTTCAAATTTAGCTCTAGCACATTTTTGTTCAAACTGGCAAAACAATTTGCCGTATTTTTGGTAAAAACAGTAAATTTAAAACTTTTAAAAAAATACCAGCAAATCGCTAATGTCCTGCTAGCTTCTGAATCACTGATACTTTGTTAATATTTAATCACTACATTGTCAGAATTGGGATTTCAAAATTATTGCCAGGTGCTGGAAATTGTTTTCTTTTGGCAAACGATACTTTTTTGTGAATTGCTAAAAAATAAAAAATTTTGAGTTGTTAAAAATTCATTCTGGCACTAAAGACAGATCTTCTGGTGACGATAAGGAATTTTATCCTTTACTTTAAAACAGTTTATAGTTTTCTGGGTGGTTATTTCAAGGCAAAATTTATTTTCACTTTTACCTATAATTTTTTATGCTACCATATAAAGGAAACACTTTCAACTCACAAAATTTAAGAAATATAATATCCAAAAAAATGAACTAATCTAGAAAAAAACACTTTTATAGAATTTTTTTTTGAAATTCTAGAAAAAACTGTTATGCTGTATCACTAACAGCTCATTGCAACAAAACACGCCTTGACAAATAGGAATTTCAAAATTTGAATACAGTTCCTTTTTAATTCATTTTCGTTTTTTTCTTTCTTTTTTCAAAAATCAATATTTACTTCAACATCAAACATCTTTTCATGGCTATGGAGCCACAAGACCAACATCAAAGACCTTTCACTCTTTTTTTTTTTAAACTTCATTTTCAATTTCCGAAGCTTTCAAAACATCGCACAAAGCAATTTTCGGCGCAATGAAAAGAAGCAGCGGCCAGCAAAGCAGTTTTCTTGCTATAATAGCCAACGAGAACAAACCAGACTTATTTCAGCCCCCGAAAATCAAAACACCATAAACACCGTCGGGAGCTGTGTACACAATAACCTCACCAGAAACAGTATACAATTGTCCCAGTCATTTGGGGTTGATATTACACTGGGACAAAGACGCGGTATTTAGTAAATTATTGTCGCATTCCAGTCGCTCACCGAGACTATTAAGTCGGCTTTCATCACAGTGGATAGGCAAAGAATAACATTTCTGACTGCTCACCGAGCACACTGAAAAACATGCACTATAATATATTATCCCCCCTAATATTAGTGGGATGTTCCATTATAGTAAACAGGGAGAACCAGCCAGTCTTTGATTTCAACACTGGTTGGAAATTTGAAAGCAAATGGGAGATTCTATTATTATATAGTAAATGGGGAGATTTAGCCTGTTGAAAAAAGGGTTTTAATTTCGTTATTTTTCAGTGATAAGTAAAATCCGTTAAATTAAATTTACGTGAACATGTAAAATAATATCTCTACTTTCACAAAGTTTAAGATGTTTAGTTTACAGTGCAACCTGGTGTTTTAATAACACAGGTCATTTACAAACTTATATTAGTCGCACTTACTGTTCACGATTAGTTCCACGCTCGCTTGACCAGGACCGTTTTCACCGACACCAAAAACTGACACTTTACAGGTATACCTCCTTTCATCATCAATCGTGATTGGTCCATCTATTCGTAAGGAGGCCTGTTCTTCAATACTATATCGACCAATTTGTTGCGGGTACCCATTGAACTGTTGTATTAGAAAAATTTTCTGTCCTGTGTTTTGGTTTGTGGTTTCCCACGTGATAATTGTAGAGGTCGGTGTCCCGCTAACGCCGCTGTACGTACACGCAAGTAACGTGGAGGTGTCACTCTCCGTGGCAGTTTCAATGTTATTTACAGCGACTTGTAATAATGCCGAGCATCGACATGCTGGAAAAAAATAAAACAGAAAATTATAAATAAGTAAATATGTATTTTGTTCAGCATTTTCAAAGCATTATTTTCCGCAAATGTATAATCGACTGTGATATG